AACAAAGTCTAGGAAGGTAAACAAGAAAGTATTAATAGTGATTTAAAATTTTTTCCTCCTTTTGTTTAGCTACATCTTCTCGTTTTTCTTCAATGATGTGTATTTCTGGTGTAAATTTAAAAAAAAATCTATTAAAAAACTCTCAAGTACTTTGCATTGAGAGTCTGTCTAAACAAAGTAATTATAACTGTATTGCCTTATTATGATTTCATTATATCACTTCCACAAACACGTGTGATCTATATATATAAAAGGCTAAGTGACTGGCCGTCAGTCCGTCCAACCAGCTGTATATATGACGTGCACTGGCATTTTGAGAATAAACATTGACTCGTGCTGTGTGAAACATATAAAGCCCTCAGAATAGATATTATTAAAATTCCCTGTGAAATGATTTATAACGGATCTATTATTGAAGATACCTTTGGAAATAGTGTATCTATAGATATTAAAAATATACCTAAACGTGTGATTCTTTGTCCTAAAAATGAGCATATTCATAAATTAAAGAAATTTTGGATATACTCGATGGAGATTTCACACCTATTTGAGTGATAATTCCATCGATTCAATGGATGATGCCAAAAAGGAAAAATTTCCCATTGAGTTTCTTAATAGTATTACTCCTTTGGGAATGCCATGTCATAAAATTGAAAGTAGGTGCAATCATCAAGCTACTGAAAATCTTAATAGTAAATGGGGTCTTTGTAATGGCACTAAATTTATTATCAAAAGATTGCAAACTAACATAATCAAAGTTGAACTATTAACAGGCTCTGCAATAGGAGAGGTTGTTCTGATTCCAAGAATTGATTTGTCCCTGTCTGACACTGGTCTCCCTTTTAAATTAATTCGAAGATAGTGTCCCATGATGCCAGCATTTGTGATGACTATTAATAAATCACAAGGATAAGCTCTAGGCAGAGTAGGAATATTCCTGCCTGAACCTGTATTCGGATATGGTCAGTTATATGTTGCTTTCTCTCAAGTTCGAAGAGCATGTGACATTAAAGGTAAAGTTGTATATACTTCATCACAAGGGAAATTAGTCAAGCACTCTGAAAGTGTTTTTTTCTTAACCGGAGGCCTGGTGCACAAAATTCGTGCACTTGGGGGGGGGTGTCCCTCAGCCCAGCCTGCACCCTCTCCAATATGGGACCCTTCGGGGGATGTCCGACTGCTGGTTTAGGCCTGATCCCTGATCTTGCTCTCAACTGCCCTCCCCTGCAGGCCCGGTTGACCCCAACTGCCCTCCTCTGCCAGCCTGGTCGCTCCCAACTGCCCTCCCCTGCAGCCTGATTGCCCACAACTGCCCTCCCCTGCTGGCTATCTTGTGGCGGCCATCTAGTGACCACATGGGGGCGGTCATCTTGTGTGAGGGTGTGACGGTCAATTTGCATATTACCTCTTTATAAGATATGGTATACAGGGAGATATTAGAATAAGTTTAATCAATTTATCAGTCATTGTTTTTATCAATTTTTTTATATCATTTTTAAAAAATATATTTTATTGATATTTTACAGAGAGGAAGGGAGAGAGATAGAGAGTTAGAAACATCAATGAGAGAGAAACATCAATCAACTGCCTCCTGCACACCCCTTACTGGGGATGCACCCGCAACCAATGTACATGCCCTTGACCGGAATCGAACCTGGTACCCTTCAGTCCGCAGGCCGATGCTCTATCCACTGAGTCAAACCGGCCAGGACGTTTTTGTTGTTTTTATATCATGTTCTTGTTGTTGTTATATCATGTTGTTATTATTTATTTATCAATTTATATGTTATTTTCATATACATTTTACTCATTTTCTTTCATTTCTGACACTTCTATTATAGAGAATGGCAAATAGCAATATTAACATATTTCTTCTAATTAATTTCCTTTCAATGTGCATGAATCCATGCACTGGGCCACCAGTTTTATTATAAAAGTCAATAGAAAAACAGGTATCAGTATGTGGAAGTTCTATTAATGTCAATTTTCTTGAACAATAGAGTAGGTAACACTTGTAGCCAAAATCTTGAGAATGAGATTAAATGTTTAATTATTATTATTCATATGACATTTTGTATGTGTCTTGATTTCTAATATCATTGAACCTTGTCTCCCTAAATAAGATAAACTTGTTGAGTCATTAACGATTATACCCTGCTTCTCTGAGCCAGGCTTTCAAAAGCCAATGAAAGATGAGCTCTGGCTTCTAATATTACAACCTTGAGGCAGACCAGTGAGGAGCAGCTTTGCTTTTTATGGACAAGGGTCGGGGTGAGATTGGGTCATTTTCTGGGACTGTTGTCATTGCAACAAACTTTTTGCTGCCTACATCCAACACCTTTTATCTTCCCTGCTAAGAAAAAGCCTTGCAAGGATTTACACACAAAAATCATGATCCAAGAGGAATCATTAACACCCAGGTCTTTGCCTAGCTACCGCCACCACAGCCAGAGAATCCCATGACTGAGAACAAGGATGGGAGAACAGATGCAGAAGACTGCTCTGATGGTGCACATTCTATAACAGGTACTCCAGGGCAGGCAGGAAAGGCTTTCCCTGGGAGGTAAAATCTAAAAACTGAAGACTGAAGGAGATTAAGCTAGTGGGAGGGATAAGAAGAGGCTTATTTTTGGGTAGTGGGAACAGCATGTAAAAAGCTTAAAGTAATAGCATTAAAACTATGAGGCTGCCGAAACCAGTTTGGCTCAGTGGATAGAGTGTCGGCCTGCAGACTGAAAGGTCCCAGGTTCGATTCCAGTCAAGGGCATGTACCTTGGTTGCGGGCACATTCCCAGTGGGGAGTGTACAGGAGGCAGCTGATCGATGTTTCTCTCTCATCGATGTTTCTAACTCTCTATCTCTCTCCTTTCCTCTCTGTAAAAACTCAATAAAATATATTTAAAAAAAAAAAAAAAACACCAAAAAACTATGAGGCTGAGTGACCTACCCTATGTCTGTCTGACTGCCCGACCGACCAGTACATATGACGCACACTGGCAATTTAAAAATAAGCGTTGACTTGCACATGCACGATACATATAAAGCTCTCACTGGTGCCAACTACACGTGTTTCGATCTGTCATTGCCTATCATGAATTTGATTGTTTTTTTTTGACATTCTGAAGCTGAAAGAAAGCAGCATGGTTGACAGAATATGTCTGAAAACGAACTATTGGCAAAACGTACCTCTGAAACCGAAAGAAGCCCGCATCGTCGACAGAATGTACCTGAAATATTTTTTCTAATTAATTTCCTTTCAATGTGCATGAATCCATGCACCTAGCCACTAGTCAAATAATCATAAATAAAGTAGTTACATTGAAAACTATAAACTCTGCTGAGAGTAATTAAAGAAGAATTAAATAAACACATGATAAGATGTATTATGTTCCTGGATGTAAAAACTCAATAGATACATTTACTAAATGTAACAATCTAGAACCATAAGGTTTCTATAAGAAACCAGGAAGAATCTTCATAACCTTAGAGTAGGTAAAGATTTATTAGAGAGAACACACAAAATATTTGATTATAAAAATGATGTAAGTTAGGCTTTATGAAAATTGAAACATTCATCATGAAAATGAGTAGGTAAGCCACAGACTGGGAAAAATATTCTCAATACATATATCTGACAAGACTCATATCCAGACCATATAAAGAACTCTTATAAATCAACAATAAAAAACCCAATTGACCTAATTTTACAAATGAGCAAAGGACTTGAATAGACACTTTACAAATGATGCTTAACATCACTAGTCATCAGAGAAATGAAAATTGAAACCATGATGGAATACCATTTCATATCCACCAGAATGGTTAAAATAAAAGACTGACAATATCAAATGTTGGAGAGAGGGCTTAGAGAACTAGAACTTTCTTATGTTGCTGGTGGGAATATAAAATGGTAAAACTACTTTGGGAAATTGTTTGGCAACTGACATTCATTTATTTAATGACCCAGCAGTTCCACTACTAGGTATGTATTCAAGAGAGATAAAAATATATATCCATAAAAGGATTTGTACAAGAACATTCACAGGCTTCATTCATAATATCCTCAAAATGGAAACAATCCAAATAAATACAAACAGGAGAATGGGTAAACACATTTTGATACATTTATATAATGGGATGCTATCTTACAGCTACATAGCATTCCATTATATAAATGTATCAAAATATATCAATAATGTGAATATTTTTCAAAAGTACTGTTGAGCAAAAGAAGTCAGATACAAAAGACTACATACTAAATGACTTGATTTATTTGAAGGACAAAAATAGGCCGGACATATGAAGGGTGATAGGATGAGAGAGTGGTTGCAGTTGGGGTGAAGGATATTGAATTGAAAGGGATGCGCAAGAACTTTCTAGGCTGATGGAAATGTTCTATAGCTTATTGGTGGCAGTTGCACCGTGTACACAGTGGTCAAAACCTCTTGAACAAAACACTTAGAATCTGTTATTTTACTGTCTGTAAATTATACCTTAATTTTTAAAAAGGCGAGGATAAAAGCATAGTGTATTTATAGGTGCAAATGACTACTCAGGGCTGATGATTAATTCTTTTCTCCAATTTCATTCCAGAAAACAAGAGTACACCCCCCACTCCCATAAATTTTTCCTGTATTTAAACCCACACTGATAAAAGATTTATTTACTAAAGACCTTTCTCCTCACGGTATGTCATACAGAGTTGAAACCATCAACAATAATGAATTAAATCTTATCTAAAATGGAATAGCTTAGGATATATAACAAAAAAAAAAAAAAAAAGCAGGCCTAACTGGTTTGGCTCAGTGGATAGAGCATCGGCCTGCGAACTGAAGGGTCCTGGGTTTGATTCCAGTCAAGGGCATGTACGTTGGTTGCAGGCACATCCCCAGTGGGAGATGTGCAGGAGGCAGCTGATCGATGTTTCTCTCTCATCGATGTTTCTAGCTCTCTATCTCTCTCCCTTCCTCTCTGTAGAAAATCAATAAAATATATTTAAAAAAAAAAAAAACTTTGGCTGGTGGAATAAGAATTTGGGTAGAGAGAACTATTCAAATAAGCTTATATACGTATACTTCTCCCACCTCTGATTTATACTCAATAAGTTATACCCCTCAAATATGACTGATATCTGAAAAACAAATCCTGTGACCATTATGATATAAAGAACTTAACTAATTCAGTAATCTTTTTCAGAGTCTTGAAAATAATGGATCTTCAATAATTAATTAATGTATTTACTGATTAGTTAGAATTTATGTCCAAATTACATATGCCCATAATGGAAAATATATTACAATTATATTATAATGTCTTCATAAAAAATGTTTGAACCAGAGATGATTTCATTAGGTGATTTATGGGAAGTATATTTAAATTGAGTATATGAAATAAGGTACAAATCCAACTCACCCCAGCTTAAAAGTTTAATCATTCTGTAATTACCTGACTAGATTTTTAAAAAAATGATAGAAAAAGTACTCTTGTTAGACATATAAAGCAAACACACAAACCCCACTGAGTCGAATTTTGGCCTCCACTGGGGTATCTACGTGATTATAAAAGCTACACATGCATTGTTTTGAATTGAACACCACATTAGCCAGATCAGAAAAGCTGTGAACTGAGAAGGAAATTGTTATTCCAGCGATGGAACCTCAACTAGAGAGTATTATTCTGCTGGCAGCCGGGACTTCAGCGCATTCTCACTCTGAAAACCAGTGGCTTTTAATCACACATTATAAAAGCATTTGCGATGCTCTGCAGGCTGTCTTTCTTCAAAGATTTCCCTGCTGCTTTCCTTCCTGAGCACAATAGGTTCAAGATGGCTAATGCTGTTTCCTACTTGTGCCAAGAACCTCCTGAATGCCACTGGGCTTTCATCATGAAGACAAATGGCAAACCATCAAATGGGAATATCTCATTCTAAATGGGGACGCCGACGATCATGTTATTTTTGGGAGAGCAGCTCTCTGGCTCCATGGATATCACTTGGACGGAGTAGCCACGCTCTTCTGCAGCTCTTGCTCGGTCCAGATCCACCAGGCACATGCACTGCTTTCCTGAAATACAGCCCAAGGTATCATGAGACACAGTCCAGTTAACAGTGCCATTTCAATTCATTTAAGGGACCCTATACAGTGACACAATCTATAGGTGTATGGAGAATGCTGTTTGCCCCCACGTCCTGTTTAGTGTCTCTCTCCATTTAATTCTTGATCAGTATGGAGAGAAAACAATTACAAATGTATAACATGTCTGAGATTTGTTTCCACTAGTAATTTAAATAATGTCAACCTTCTAAAATATGTTTATAAATAAATCTCAAATAAAAACTATAGATTCTGTTTCCCACTTTGATTAAAAATCCATGTAAAGACCTTTCCTCTTCCATACCCTATGAGAACACATCATCTGTCATACTGTGAAACAAACAATATCTGCTTTTCATATCTAAAATGACATGCGAACAGAGGGCCATCTGAAAGAATGCTGCAGTTTGCACCTGGAGTTTTTAGGACAATAAAGAAGTGAGAAATAGAAAATATTTGTGAAAATTCTAAATTGTGTGATTATTTCAGGTAGATGTGTAATGCTGCGTGTAATATAGTGTTAATTTTCAGAGCTCCTGTACGCATATGAAATAGTGGTATTCAATTTTCTTTGTAACCTTTGCAAAACAAGAGGAAACCTGACTGGCAAGTAAAGCAGTGAATTTGTGTTTGTTTGGCAAACTTCTATTTCAAAAGTAGCCCAGGAAAAAAATGATTTGGGGTTGAATATATTAAAAGTTATGGCTTTTAGACTTTCAAGTTCTTTAAATTCAGAAAAAGGTTACTGACTCCATAGAATTTCATTCCATTTTTCCTCAATAATTATAATGGTACCTAAGCATTATTTCTAATGGATGTATTTAAAAGGCAGCTGATTCTGCTAAACGAAAGCTTCAGAAGTGAAGACAGAAACTGAAATGGAACAGTTCTTCAGTGGAAGACAGAAGAAGCCTCACAGAAAGACTGGAAGGTGAAATCAGTAGGAAGAATTGGCAACCAGAGATTCCATTTTAAAATATTTTGTATATTTTCCTTAAAAGGCTCATGCCAAAAAAGATTAACTGTCTTAAAGTGATATAAAGAAAGATGTCTAGGATTCCATTTAGGCTAAATCACCCCTCTTCATCAACAGCCAGAAGGCTAACTTTTCCCCCTTAAACTATGGTTCCTCCTCTAAGACTTCTGTAAATGCCCCCTCCCACCTCCATCTACTTTTCAACTTAAATGAAACATTCTCTGTCAGATGGGATGCCCTACATTCCTTCAGTACCCACCCTGGGTTTACACCACAGCTCATTTAGCCTTGGCTTTGATCCCTTTCCAGAATCTCATGTTCACATGTTGAGGCAGTATCTTTACAACTGAAATGCAGTTGTTGGAAGTCTACCTTTTAGGGTCTGGGAAGCTTCCTAAAATGTTCACAGAACAAAAATATGACCTGTGCAAAGTACAGATGTAGACATTTGATGGAGTCTGACTTTGAACCTGACTTTCCTGGTCTTCCACTAATCACTCCAAATGCTTCTCGTCCTTAACTAGCAGCTTACCTTCCAGCCACTCCCTTCCGGTTTAATGCCTGAAACGTCACCATGTGCACCCCCACCCAGCACACCAGTGATGTCTTCTCTGAGTCTGGTGAAGTTATATAAAACGTAATTCATATATATGTAAATTAGACCTCAGTATGTGTAGTGGACTATACAGCAAATGTACATTCACCTAACTCAAAGTGTTGGGATAGGAAAAGGAGGAGGAAGAGGGGAGGAGGAAGAGAGAGAGAGGTGGCAGGCAGGAAGGAGCAAGCTTTTTTCCATGTTTATGCACCAGAGTGAGAAAGAGAAGGAAATCACTTGTTCCTTCAGCTTCAGGTCTCCAATGCCTCTCCACGGTGGCTACCTTGCTATGCTGACTTCGACTGTAGAGTTTAATGGCAACTACTTCTCATATAACACGGCCCGATGAAAGCTAATGACTCCGTCCGGCACTCTGCCGAAGAAACGTAATCTGTTTTCCAGACCAGGATGGTCTCCAACGTGGGGCTTTTCTAAGTAATTGTTAAGACTAGTTTGGATTCTACTCAGTCATTGGAAGCCCTCACTTTGGACTCCATCACTGGTGGGCAAAAATGGACAAGAGCTTCATGGCTGGGATCAAATAATTTGGGTTCATAGGGTGGCTCTGACATCTACCAGATGAAGGAGCCTGGGCAAGTTTTTGTCTCAGTTCTCTTGTCTCTAAAATATAAATAGTAGTATGTGCATATCCCATAGATATGTTTATAAGAATTTACTAAGATAATGGGTGGAGGGCAGTCAGCACAGTGTTTAAATGTTCAATAATTGTTAGCTGCCATTGTCCTTCTACATGTCATTTCTTTTCCTAAAGCAAAGTCTTGGATACATTTATCACTTAAACTTGAAATGCCATTGTAGGCGTTTCCATTTAGGCAATACTTAACATTATAAATGCAAACATATTGGTCTATGATTAATAATATACAAGCACCTCTTTTTTTCTGAGAAGGACAATACCATTCTTGTTCATACGTTTTCAATCCATCAGTTTTGGTGCACATAGTTGATCTTTTTTATTTTCTTATGGGGCTTTTGGTAGGTCCTTCAGTTTGTTTGTAACAGTAAAAGATCTAACAATAATGCTACTCAATGTACTAACATTAAAAATGTATTTAACTTAATTATTAACAAAAATGGGATAAAGCGTTGTTATTGTTGCAAAGCCTTTTTCAATATGGATTAAGTTTTCTGGGGAAAATAATCTTTAGTTTCTTGTTGATAAATGAACCAGTTTTTCCCGTACAGAGTCGCTCCATTCATTCCTAGGCCTGCGGTACGTACTCTGCTCAGCAGCTGCAGTGAAAACACATACCTACGAGCCTTCGTTGGGGTGGAAGCTGGACAGCTGTCTGATCTGCAAATCGGCACAGGATCATGTGTTCCTAAAAGAGAAAGCAATAGAATGTGGGTTTGTTTTAACCTTTTGCTTCAAAATTAAACATATTTTTTAAAACGACCTCATTTTTCTAGAGTTCTACATTAACTGGATAAAGCGCTGCACAAATAGTGCTTCTGAAATAAGCACATTGTCAGAACACAGTGCTCAGAACCTTCCCTCAGGTAGACAGCTCTACATCTGAAGGGCTGTCTCGGCAGCAGAGGCACGGAAGATGGTCAGGGCCAGTTAACAGCTGCTTTTAGCGGAAATATACTTACAATTGGTGATTATAGAATGTTAAACTAGAAGACCTAAAGTTCATTTACATTTTTCCTTTAATGAAATTTGAATCTCAGAAACATGGCTCCAAAAACACCTTCTAAGCAGCGTTTCTTCCTACTACCAGAGGAAAGGAGGCGCTGCAGAGGATCACGGTGGCTTCTGTCTTTCTCCAGAGACCCAGCACTCCCAGTGCTGGCTACTCCCCCGCCCTCCCCTCTCTCTACCCTTTGCTCATTCCCCACTCTCCCCTGGCTCACTCATTCTCCTCTCGCTCCAAATGCTGCAGGAGGTGTACCTATTTCTGCTTTAAGAGGAACCATAAAGTGGATCTGAAGGAATGGGAGGGAAAGTATTGCTTCTGCTTAACAATGTCAGGAAAGGTGCATTCATAAAAAGAGAAGAAGGCTTCACAGTGGTTCTCAACTTTGGCTGCACATTAGAATCACCTGGGGATCTTTTTAAAATCCTGATTTCTGGGCCTCATCCTCAGGAAATCCTGTTTCTTTGTTATGGGGTGGGGCCACAACATTAGTAACAAAGAAACAGAATTTCCAGAGGATGTGGCCCAGAAATCAGGATTTTAAAAAGATTCCCAGGTGATTCTAATGTGCAGCCAAGGTTGAGAACCACTGCTTCAGAGGGATGAGAGCTGATGAGTCTGCACAGCACTCTGAAATCTGCAAGTAGCCAAAGGTGAGTGATTGGTTTCAGTCAAGATGACTGCAGTGTTCCCAGGCAACTGTTCATTCAGAACGGCTGCACTTTCTTAGTGTGTAAATGATCTCACCTGTCAGCTTAGCCAACAGGTGGAACTCAGCTTCATCACCTTGTCTCCTTGGTCTTCTGTACATTCAATTTGCAGCCTCCATTTTTAAATAAGCTCATTGAAATGAGTGCAATGCTGGGTCTTTTAGAAGGGTTAACTTTTTCTCAACTTTAATGCATTTGAAAAAACATTTCAATGCTCACTGTAACATTTAGTGGCAATGTCTGGAGTACTAATAAGATGGTTCAAATAAATAACTTTTATTAAGTTTCCGTAAGTCAAAAAGGGGCAGAATAATTTAGAATTATATAACATGAAAAGGCAAGAAAAAGCATACCCTTTGTCCTCATGATGTTTGTAAATTAAGATTCATTTTAAATATACAGTGGGGCCTTGACTTAAGAATTTAATTCTTTCCGAGACCGAGCTTGTTAAGGAGCTCGTTAAGGAGCTCATTAAGGAGCTAGTTAACTCAAATTACTCTGTCAACTCAATGCAAAAATCGGCTGAGAGACCGATTAAAGACAAAGAGCGAATCTTAAGAGAAAAGCAGTTAGTTACCTACAGGTGAGCTCCCATAAGACTGATTTCTCTACAGAAACTTTGCAGGCCAGAAGTGAGTGGCAAGAAATATTCAAAGTGATAAAAACTAAGGACCTACAACCAAGATTACCCTACCCAGCAAAGCTATCATTTAGAATTGAAGAACATATAAAGAGCTTCTCTGACAAGTAGTAGTAGTAGACCGAGGAGGAGGAGGAGGAAGAGGAGGAGGAAGGGAGGAAGAGGAGGAGGGAGGGAGGAGGAGGAGGAGAAAGAGAAACATGAACAATAAAATGGCAATTGAACATGGAGGAAAACATTTCTAAAGTGACTCTCAAGAGATTGGGGCACTAGTCCATGTAGTTCTGTCTGCCAGCCCAACCATCATGGTTAAGTTAGGAAATACCGAGGTACCATCTTACCACAGTATTCAAGACTTCTCTATAGAGCATTTACATCTGAGACCCTCAAAAAGGCTGGTGGCCAAGCAGCTTTGGGGGGTGTGGGAGAAAGAGGTGATAAAGATGAATTTTCTGCTCTGGAAGAGCCTGGGTGCCCCACCTCTTTTACCTCTAGGAATTTTTCTTTCTAGGCAGTAAGATTGTGGCACCTGACTTCACTTCCCTAGGCTTCTGCTATACATTCTCTCAGAGTTTGCTTTGCCTAGCATCACTCAAGGAGGGATTAGAACAAGCCTCTAGTTTTTGGTTATTTTTCAATTCATTTTCTACTTTATTAGCAGAGTCTTGGGAGAGTAAGGTGAGGTGTTTTGAATCTTATGAAAATAAAATTTCTGGGATACTAATTTTGCCCCCAAATCTTATAGTTCCCCAGGATATGAAAACTTAAATCCTGTATGCAAAGATGAGGAAAGTGCCGATTCGGAATAAAAGCATGAACACAAAAGTTTCTCTCTTCTCCACAGGTTCTGTGTATATGGTGGGCAGAGGTTGGGGGTTGGAGAGAGGTGAGAGGTAGGAGACAGAGTTGGAGCTGGGCATTTAAGAGGTACAGGTGGAGGAGATATAGGTGCCAAGGTGGTAGAATGAACATTTTTAGGTCACTGCACCGATTTCACTGTTGGAAAGAGAAGAAGGGAAAATTCGTAGAAGGCAAGGGTGCTATATAAAATGATACTATATATTTTAGTGAGTTTTTGCCGGAAGTTAAATTAACCAAACTAAAAATCCAATCTAATTTATCGACTTTTAATAGGATTATTTATGCATTTCTCTCAAACATGATCATTTCTTAGATTGTATTATGTCATGCTATTGATCATTTAATTAGTTAATAGCGATGTTCAGAAAGCTAGAAACGGGGGCCTTTAGTCAAGAAGGTGCATAGGTAAGTGCTGTACTTGCATCCTACAATAACCACATCAAAATATAACTAAACTACAGAACAGCTATCATTCAGAACTGCCTGAAATCTCCCTGAATGAAAATCCTACAACTAAAGATATAAAGAAGAAGCCACATCAAGATTGGTAGGAGGGTTGGAGACTCAAAATGGGCTGGTCCTACACCCATGTGTGGTGGATAAGAATTGGGAGGTGGGCACTATATCTGAGTCTCCACCAAACTGGCTATCACTGTTCACCCTGGCCTGGTGACTCCCTGATACACCACCTCACCAGCTTGTAGGCCCACCCATGCTGTTTCCAGTGGCTTTCCCATATGAATAGCATGTCTTGGCTCATGCTTCAGACTTTCCTAAAATCTTTGTAAAACACAGCATCTGGCCTCAGCATGCCCTGTACCTCTTGCTAAATGGCTCCTGGCCCAGCACTAGCAGCAGTTGGCTTTGGTTTTCAGCTTGGCCTCTCCTGGGCACCTCCAACCTCCAAGCCCAGCACAAGAAGCAGCTCTCTGTAGATCACTGTGTAGCTCATGCCTGGTGGCTCTGGGAAGAACAGGTCGTGGCTGACCTTTGACTACACCTCCTGGGTGGCCCCAGAGCCAGCATACCAGGTGGACAGCTTCAGACACTATTGAAGCACCACCCAATCACCTCCACAAGTGACAAACTCAAGACGTTGGCTCAGCAGGCACCTGAGCCCTGCTGCAGTAAGTTCTGCTCCATGGGTGGGCCCCTGTACAGTTGATCCTCTATGGTGGTCACAACCAGTCCTTGCAGCTGATCATCCTGGGGGTAAATCCCTCCCATTCATGTGCCAACAGAAATCAAACTCAACAACAGGAAGTGTACACAGTCCACCTGGTGGTTGGGGGTACACCTGGAGTACCCAGTGCCAGTGAATGGGGAGGCTGTACCACTGGACCCTACAGGACACCTACTACATTGGGCCACTCTACCAAGCTCAGAAGATACAGCAGCTCTACCTAATACATAAAAACAAGCGCAGGGAGGTGGCCAAAATGAGGATATGAAGAAATGTGTCCCAAATGAAAGGACAGAACAAAATTCCAGGAAAAGAACTACACAAAATAGAGACTAACAATCTACTAGCTGCAGAGTTCAAAACACTGGTTATTAGGATGTTTGGTGAACTTAATGGAAGAGTAGAACTTAGAGAGATATTAAATTGCATAAAAAGGACATGGAAACCATGAAAAAGAAACAGTTAGAAATGATGGATACACCAACTGAAATGAAGAGTAATTTACAGGGAATCAACAGGAGAATAGATAAATCTGAGAATCAAAACGGTGATTTGGAATATAAAGAAGCAAAAAAACAAACAAACAAAAAAACACATAATCAGAACAGCAAAAAAAAAAAAAAAAGAATCTAAAAAAAAAAAATGAGGATAGTGTAATGGGTCTCTGGGACAACTTCAAATGTACCAATATTTGCATCATGGGGGTGCAGGAGGGAGAAGAGAGAGGGGAAGAAATTGAAAACCTATTTAAAACAATTAGGACAGAAAACTTTCCTAACCCAGTGAAGGAAATAGACATACAAGTCCAGGAAGTGCAGAGTCTCAAGTAAGATGAACCTAAAGAGGTCCTCACCAAGACACATCATAATTAAAATGCCACAGGTTAAAGACAAAGAGTGAATCTTAAGAGAAAAGCAGTTAGTTACCTACAGGTGAGCTCCCATAAGACTGATTTCTCTACAGAAACTTTGCAGGCCAGAAGTGAGTGGCAAGAAATATTCAAAGTGATAAAAACTAAGGACCTACAACCAAGATTACCCTACCCAGCAAAGCTATCATTTAGAATTGAAGAACATATAAAGAGCTTCTCTGACAAGTAGTAGTAGTAGAAGGAGAAGGAGGAGGAGGAGGAGGAGAAAGAGAGAAAGAGAAACATGAACAATAAAATGGCAATAAAGACATATCAATAATTGAATGTAAAAAACAAACAAGCAGAACAAAAACAGACTCATAGATACAAAGAACATTTTGATAGTCAACAGATGGGAGGGGAGTTGGGTGAAAATGTGAAGGGATTAAGAAGTACAAATTGGTAGTAACAGAATAGTCATGGGGATGTGAAGTACAGCACAGGGAATATGGTCAGTATTATTCTAATAACTATGCCTGGTACAAGATTTATCAAGATGATCACTTAGTAAGTTATATAATATCTAATCACAGGGTTGAACACCTGAAACTATTATAATATTATATGTCAATTATAATTGAAAAATAAAAAAAAATTATTAAAAAAAGAAAGCAAGCTGGAAACTGCTCTGCTCAGGTTGGCAACTCAGAGCTGTGTAACGTGCTGACTGCCATTGGGAAGCAATTCTCTGTGGGGCTCCTGTGTTTCTTCATGTCTGTGAGCAGAGGCACTGCCTTTGTTTCAGATCAGGGGTTGGCAAACTATGGCCCACAGGCCCAATCCAGCCTATGACCCGATTTTGTGCGGCTCAAACGTTAAGATTATTTTTTTACATTTTAAAGGGTTGTAAACTTACAACAAAGGCAAGGACAATGTAGAATATGTGGAAGATTTGTAAGTGGCTGGCAAAACCTAAAACATTTACTTTTACTGATAATTTTGTCTCTCTTCCAGATTATCCTTTTAAAGATGTTTGTTTAGGAAACAGCCTTAGAAACTATAGTGTCTTCTTCCAGAGTAAAGGGCAGGCATTCTTACTTAAAGATTACATCTTAAAACATTTGGGTTTCCTAAGCTCAGGTTTCTTTTCCTGTAATGCAACTCACTGTGTGTGTATAAGTGTTACCTGGCTCTTTTTGTGCTGCCCTGTAGGCACTGAGTCTCAGGAAGTCAGTGCAAAAATGATAGTCTGGCTCCCCCCATCATTGTGAGCAATAGCTGTGTTTGTCGCAGACACAGGAGTCTCCTGTCTTCTCTCAGCATCCATGAGACTGTGGCAGGCTAACTAGTTGGCTTGCATCCAGGGTAAATGCTCAGACCATTTACAAAAACTGGTCAACTATGTAAAGATTAACCTTGATTTCAATAAGAAATTCCACATTAGATGTTCATGAGTAATTAAAATATAACTATACTGTAGATTATATACTCTATTAGAAATCTGAAAGGAAAATACATAAAAAAGATAAAAAGTATATTAAGAACACATCTAGATCTTTAAAGGTTACCTTGTATGATAAAGTTTTCTTAAATTGTTCACTGAAATATAAAAGAAAAAGAAATTAGTCATAATTTAAAATGCCAAATATTAAGAATAGAAATAGTCTTGAAGGAACTAAAATTTTAAATTATAATTAAAAAATATTTTATCTGAAGAGTATGTAATGCTATCCTGAACTAAAAACTATATCAGTTTGAAATGACTTTATATAAAGGCAAAACATACCATCAATTTGTTATTAATTACAAACAAGTTATTTCAAAGATTGTTTATACTATTAGAGAAGCACAGTCATTTTTTTTCTCTTCCCCGCATGAGTGCCCACAGATTTAATCTGTTTTCAAATGAAAGTTTTATTGCTAGTCAGGAGCAGAGGGCCCAACAGATCAGGAGGGGGCTGCCATTAAAAAGACAGTTTATTCCTCACAGTTCCCAAGAGGAGGGATGACATGTCACGACACAGGGCCACAGGGGAAGCACCAGGGGTCAGGAGGCAGAGGGAATGAGCCTTTATTGCAGATTCCCTGGGAAGGCATGGCAAGGCAGGGTGCACAAGCTTAGGATTGGCTAGTGTGAATACTGTGAGCAATCTCTGGGGCATAGGGGCCTTCCCTAGTTGTCTGCTACCTGGCCTTGGAGTGATTAGGGCAGGGGCATAGTGCCTTGGAGTGGTTCTCCAATGACAAAGGGGGCAAATGTCAGTATATCTACAGAGATGTGATTGGCAGCTTTAAGTTGAGACTTTAAAATCAGTTAAGTGAGAGTGCAGGCTGAGCAACTCAAATTAGCATTCTTAAGAATCTTTCTATTGCTAGCCTTAAATTTCTTGGTGTGTTATAAAATATGAATTTTATCTAAGTAGATTTAGAATAACATGAAATTTCAGCTATTGAACAAGCTGCAAGTTATAGTCTATTTTTGGCTTGTCCAGAGTTCCTTTATTTTTTTCTCAATTAGTTGCAAATTGTAGTAAATAACAAAACAATGGAAGACAAAAATAAGAAGGCTATTGTTTTTACTTTTAACTCTAAATTATGTAGATAAGAAGCTTTTAAGTATAAATACTAATAAAATTAAATTATAAAACTTCTTAAAAGTAATGATGCAAATGATCAAGAAATCATTTTTGACACATTATAGGATAAACTTCCAAAACTAACATATTGAATCTGTTCTATAGTTAAAATGATTGGCATGATTCTCAATAACTATGGCTCAGAGAGTGAAATGCCATACACACCAAAGGCTGAGTTAAAGTGATGAGAATTAGAATGTCACCCCGACTATGTGGGATAAGAAGCACTGCAAAAATGGCTGTCGAACTTGCAGACTAATCATCACCATCCATGGGCAGTATTTAAAAATACTGCTGCTACTACTGTAACTAGCAACAGCTTATATTAATTAAGTGTAAATTCTATGGTGGCTTCTAAGGGCTTTACATATATATCATTCAATTCCCACAAAAACCATGAGGTCATTTACTATTATAACCTCCATCTTGTAGATGAAAAAATGTAGGCAAAAAGAGTTTAAGTAAGTTGCTTGAGGTGAAACAACTTATACAAGAATGAGGAGCCAATATTTGCACCCGGAGAAATACTTCCAGGCCCTAAGCACTTAACCACCACACCTCCTGCCTCTCATAGGGAATGAGTTCCATTCAGAAGTACACAGAGAAGTGGTGAAGCTGTAAGACTTCTGGTCATCAGACTCCTAAACACACTTGCTTCTAAATTTCTGCAAGAGCTTGATCCAGGAGAAAAATCAAGGGCAGACATCGAGGAGACCCTCTCTTCCTTGTAAAACTTATAAACAGTACTTGCCATTGTGGAAAGAGGAAAAGAGCTCATAACTGAAGTCTCATTACAACTTTATATCAAAAGAGTAGTGTGCATTGGTTTAATCCCCATATTCGTGCCTTAAGTAGAACACTGACTTTCACCTTTTTGGAAAATTAAACTTGGAGGTATTCTGAATGAAACCGTAACAGCAAGGGCACGTGACGAAGGCAGCCCGAGTTTGGATGCAGTGCTCAATCACCATGTCTGTTGCCACGCCACAGGCATGCAATGCCACCTGGAAAACAAATTCAGACCTTAGCACCAAGTTCTTTCTAACAGCGCTATTTTTGTGCCTTTTAAAGATACTTTTGGTGAGAATCCTCAAGAGATTTCAAATGACCAGAATACAGCAGGCCCTCGGGTTATGTCGGAGATCTGCTCCTACGGGGCAATGTAGTGTGATTTTCGCAGTACGTCGGAACCCACCTACATAAGCACCTACGCCACTCACATGGAGCACACACACAGCAGTAATGAAGTGAAACAGTAAAATAAATTTAAAAGAAAGATAACAATTCCTGACCTTTACTTGTGGTAAATAAATGATAAAAAACATAAAGCACATATGTACATACGTCGAAATGATGGAACTTTTTTTTTTAATAAATAAATGAGATGGTGTGACGTAACCACAAAATGACATACATCAAGTGCGACGTAACCCGAAGACTGTCTGTATTATTCCATAACTAGAGACTCAGCGCATGAAATTCGTGCATGGGTACGGTCCCTAAGCCTGGTCTGCGATCAGAGCCATCTTCCCTGGCTGCCTGCAGCTTGTCCTGCCCCCTGCCACCACCCACCCCCTGTTCCCCATTCGCCATCGGGCGATTGGAGCCTGATGGCTAGGGGAAGGGACCAAGAGGTCGGCCGTTCCCACCCACTTGCCGGTCCCGCCCCCACCGCAGGTTGCCCTCTGTATGTGGGGCGATTGGTGGGGCAGGAGCCTTGGCCTAGTGCCACCTACATCCCCTGCCACCCACCCCCGGTTCCCCATTCACCATCAGGTGATTGGAGCCTGCCGGCCGGGGAAAGAGATCAAGAGGTGGTCAGTGCACCTCATAGTGACTGGTCGAGCGGTCATTCTGGTTGTTCTTCTGTGAGGGTCAATTTGCATATTACCCTTTTATTATATAGGATTATATAGGGTAGAGGCCCAGTCCACGGGTGGGGGTTGGCCAGCCTTCCCTGATGCAGGTCCAGGATCGGGGTGGAAGTCCCCACTTGGGGGCGGGGCCGGCTGGGGTGAGGGGCCGCGGGCAGTTTGCAGGCCAGCCACACCCCTGATTGGGGTGGGGGTCCTCGCTGGGGGTGGGGCCAGCCGGGGTGAGGGGCCACGGTCGTTCTGGTTGTTCCATCATTTCGGTTGCTGGGCTTTTATTATATAGGTTAGTTCTCATTTGGACACACCAAAGAAGTAGCTAACTATTCATATTAAGAAAATTAAGCAAGGTTGAAAAATTACAAATGGAATATTGCAAATGAAGGATAAGATTCACTCAGTAGAAAATCTGATGTGATGGTAAATATATTATGTATGCATGTCTAAACTAGTACTCTTGCTTTATGAATTCAGTTCAGTTGTAGCATTGTGATGAGAACACTAGATTGAAATAATTTCTTCTAGGCTAGAACTTGAGTTGGCTGTATGATCCTGGGCCACTTAAAATTCAGTTTCTTAGGGCCTTAGTGTTCTCAACTAAAAACTAGGGTTAATATGACATGTCATAATACTGATGCAAAAATTAATGAAAATAAATTTGCACTTTTTCAAATGCTACATAAATATAATCAGTGCAGTGTAAAAACTTATTAAATCCTATTTTTATAGTACCTTTTCATATTCATATTATAACAATTCTTAACACTGAATGATGAATTACATAAACTACTTCAGATGTGTTTATTTAAAAAGAAACAAATAAAATTACAAATTAAAGTCATGATAGACTTTCAATAATTCAGAAAAGAAACTAACTCTTAAAATTATTTTCAAAAAGATGGTTGTTAAGGCATGACATTGCCATCTTCTCAGGTTGTTGGCACCTGAATAAATTTTCCTTTCATCAAAAAAATGAAAATGATTTTCAAATGTTTTTGAAAACAAATTCCATATATATATATATTATATTAATATATATATTAATTACAAAGTAAAGTAGACAATTTTGAAAATTATTGGACTAAACAAAGCAAAATAGGACTATATAAAAGAAAATCAGATGTAGCAATCTTAAAAGATAAAGCATTTTATCAAAAAAATGCTCACATTTCCAATTCATTCTGGACAGAAGAAAATTGTATTGCATTGTAATTGTTCTTTCTAGGGACAGATCTCTCAACTTCAGGGTAGGCCGGGGTGTTCAGGATGAAGAGATGATTTTCTGGAAATTTCTGAATGTGAAATGTTATAAGCCAGATTCCCCTTTTGAACTGGAAGACCAAAAACAATGCTGTACTAGGAAGAGAGAAGCAAGAGCTCTGTTCTCAATCCTCTTCTTGAATTCTCTCCTCCTTCTAAGCCTCCCTCAACTACATAGACGCCAACAATCCCTATGATTGCTGTCACCCACTTTTTCTGTTTCACTCTGAAAGTAGAGCCCAGGAAGGCTGCTGTCCAGGGAAGGCAGCAACAACTACAGGGTTATTGGGAGAGTAAAAACTTGATTTCTCATCTGCCCTTTTTATTTAATCAGCTTTGCAAAGCAAAATTAAGACTAGTTCTTATTTTCATGAGTAGCTGGAGAAAATCTCAGAGCAAAAATTATAGATGCATTTTTTCCTGGAGGGAGAAAGAAGAGAACCAACACTAAGGGCCTATTATGTACTGGCTCTATGCTGAGCAACTGCACGCAAACCTTTCTATGCTCACAACAGCCCTGGAAGATTTTATTATCTGCATGTTAAAAATGAGGAGACTAAGGCTCCCGGAAATGAAGAGTGCCCACAACAAAGCAGGGCAGGATCCTGACCCCATGCCTTAACTACCTCAGGCTGCTTCCCCACAAAGCCCTCCTAAGGCTCTTACAGAAACGTTTAGACAATTTACTTTTATATATCTCTCTTTATTGTTGTTCTCACTTCCATTGCTACATGCAAAAGAGTTTATTCCCCTCATTTAAACAAAACAACTAAATCTAAGCAGTATTTATAGGATGGATTTTAGGACTAAAAGTTTCTATTGCATCACATGCTTCTAATTTCCATTGTCATCAAATGCAGGTCAGAATAACAGGCAAATAATGATGAGATACTGATCAATGAAACCATGTAAACAGGGACAATTAGCAGGCATCAAGGTGGCATTTCCCCCCACTAGGGAAAGGATGGGCTTTTCACTAAAGTGATGTTGGGTTAATTTGATAGCTATAGAAAATAAAAATAGTACTTTTCTCTCACCACACATAATAAATTTCAAATAAATTAGATATTAAACAAACAAACAAACAAACAAACAAAAACAAGTGAATTCCTTCATAACTAAGAGAAGTGGGAAATACTTTCCTAACTATGTCTGAAAATCCACATGCAATAAGGGGGAAGGTTAATAAATATGACAGAGTGAAAAATTTTAAGAGCCCTTTTAAATAGCTAAAAGCCCCTCAGAACTGTGTGTAAAAAGCTAAACAACAAAGTGAAAAGATTTGCAATTTATAGCATAAACAAAGGGTTAACATTCCTAATGCATAACAAGCTTCCAGAACAAGAAAAAAGCCCATTATCTGATGGTAAAATGAGTAAGAGCTTCGGACAGTTCACAAACAAAAATATACATATAGGTTTTAAAGTAAAATCACCTAATAATGCTCAAAATAAGAGAAACAAGTATTTAAACTACTTTTAGGATACTACTTATCACCTATTAAAATAACAAAATTCATAAAAATTGATGCCACTCTATGGGCCAGCCTGTGGGGAAACAAAATTACATGCTTAATTTGTGATGTCACTTCCAAAAATTTGTTCAAGGGACACATTGGCAAAAATATAAAAAAGATTTATTCACTGAGGCAACATCTGAAATAACAAAATAAAAACTAGCCAATTTCTCATGGATAGAGGACTGATGAATAAACACAATGAAGTATTCTGCAGCTCTAAAAAGAAATAAGCAATATATACATCACTATGGAAGATATTATTAAATGAAAAACAATGTCACAAAATTCTCAAACTATGCTTTTTTATAACTTTAATGGGTATATTTTGGGATAAAACAATAAATATGCTGATGTCATTAGGAAACAGATTTTCTTTTAGCTTAAGAAAGAAGAGATATATGATAAATAAATGAGGCTAACTTCAAATCCCATCATCCTGAATTTAAATTGGAAGTATCAGTATAATACTTGTTTAAAAAAACCACAGTATTGCCTAGCTCAGACCACTAAGAAGCCTAGAAACAAAGGTCAAACCAGTAGCAATGACCATTCTAGTACCTAGATTGTGGTAATTTAAATATCATTTTCCTTTCAACGAATTTAGAGATCCACGGAGAAATAGCTGATGAGGCAGGAAATTCACAGATGAGCTGGAACAGCCTGTTATACTGAAAGCATGGATGCTATCAATATTACTGAAGCCTTATCAAAAAGACTCAGGGACCACATCCAAGCGGCTCCCACTGAACAAAGATGGGAATATTTGAGCATCAGTGACAATAATAACTGCAATGTCTGACTGCTGTTTATCAGACTATCAATCCCCAGAGGGAAAGTAGGGGAGGGTGGGGGTAAGGGGAAGAGATCAACCAAAGGACTTGTATGCATGCATATAAGCCAAACCAATGGACACGGACAACAGGGGAATGAGAGTATGAGTGTGTGTGTGTTTGGGGGGGGGGGAGGGGAAATGGGGGTTAATGGGGGGATGAAGACACATTTGTAATACCTTAACCAATAAAGAAATTTAAAAATAATAATAACTGCAATGGACTGAAGTATTTCAAATACTAAATTGATGAATCAATAATCATACTGGGAAAAAATTAACATTACTTTTGGTTGATAACCAACTCACTTTGAAAACTGGAAAATATTAGAAAAGAAACGAGTTTTATCTGGCATTTCCTATGTGAACGACATCTCAGTGTAACCAAATAGTTGCTAAAGAAAACTAAATGAAGGCAGAATGATAAAATTAGAACATCATCATTTCACAATTCTTACTGAAGTAAGACAGCCAGATGTAAGCGCCTGCAGATAGAACCCACCACCACCTATGATGTGGTCTTAC